CAGCAGGAAAGGATGCTGTATACCGACTTGGCTGCTGCAGGGCCTGACCAGGAGAAGCAGCCTTCAGTGACGGCTCCTTCCGCTCAGATGGCCTCCATTCACACCAGGCCCTTGAGCAACAGCAGGCAACTACACAGCCAGCTCCCAGGCCATGTGTGCTCTTACCTGAGCCCCCCTCACCAAGGACTGCTAACTGGGGCTGTCACGCCACAACCACACTAGGCTGGCTGGTGACCCCCACATACCCCAGGGCTCTGTCCTGTCCCAAGCACAAGAGGAGAGGCCCCAAGCCTCGATTCAGACCCCTACTGCTAGGTGGGTTTCAGGAGATCAAAATTTTTCAGATTTCAAAAGGCAATGCGGGGCCCGGGCCACATACTGAATACCCACTCCAGTGAAGTCTAGGGCAACAAGCCCTCATCAAAGGCACCACTCTTTCTGCAGTGAAACAATAAAGATGCTCAACAGTTTGTCCAAAAGCCTGGATTGGGTAATAGCAGGTAAGAGACCGAGGACCTGCATTCCCTATCCCTGCAGGTGGGAACAGGGGTGGAGGGAGAGGGAAGCTCACCCTCCTCTTCTCTCCCTGCTCCCAGCAACACCTCCACCAGCAAAGCTCTACAGCCATCACTTCTGATGGTTCTTCCTTTTCTACAGGGAGAACAGAATCATAATCTATTTTTACCTTTAATTCCATGAACTGCATAAATATACCCTAATAAAGTTTCATCAATACAAATATTCACAGATTATGAGCATATTGAAAAGCAAGAAGAAAAACACCAATTTCAAAATAACATGGGTGCTGGATTTAGACCACACAGGAGAAGTCAAAGTTCAGGCCAGGCAGGCGTGCAGCCACCTGGGGGCCCTCCAAGCTCACTCGGTCATTAGCTGTCTCCCTCCACTGTGGGAACAAGGGAGGCGGCCCTCACCCCACTGATGAGGACAGACCACAACCTGCAAGGCCCCAGGCCCTCTCCTGTTGTCACAGACACTGGGGATCATTCCCAAGTCCAGCCCAGCAGTTTCTTTTGCCAGCACATTGCTGGGGCTTGGTGCTGACTTGGTAGATTTTCAATCTCTGGCTTCATATTTTTCTTCCATTTATTTTCCTTTTGCCTCAATTATCCATTAAAAAAGAAAATTGTGTGTGTTTATGCAAGTTACCCTGAATCTTGTTTGGAACAAGATGCAGGAGAGAAAAAGACAAGGAAGAAAACAAGGGCATTCTAAATGTTGTACTTTTAGCATATTCAAATTATATATTACTTATTCTGAGTTTGGAGACTGATGAAAATGCTGAGCAAATACATAATTTCCTGTAGTTGTTAGTTTTGCTGTTGGTAAAGTAAAAAATAAGCTCAGTTATGAACTATATAGTAGATACTTTAGTTTAACAACAATAGAGTATTTAGGTATTCACTAGGGAAAACCAATGCATAAATCACAAAATATTTGGTGTGAGAGGTCAAACGGTAGAAGCCAGCCCTGAAATTACTCTACGTCCCGCTGCACAAGGAGGATCCTTGCATGTCTGATTCTATAATGTCATCACCAGAGAAGACCTCAGGTTACTCTTTGTGCCAAAGGAGCACTGCCAGCTGCAGAAGCAAATTGAAGGGAAAGCAGACATGGTGGAGGAAGTGGAGACAGCTTCCCAAGGGCACTGGGCTCTTCAGGCTGAGAAGACAAAGATGAGTCTCCACCACTAGGAACTAGGTAGCAGGTGTCAAACATGCTTACAGAGTTAACAGGGAGATGCAGACTTAACCTGAACTTGTCATTCAAGCCAGAAAAATAAACATTTCCCACACACAGCACTCAAGGTCCAGATCAAGAACGTCCCCACCTGGGCACACTAGCACGGTGGACAACCAGAACCCGGGGAAGAGTCCAGAATCACGTATTCTTTTAGCTGCATTAACCATGGGTTCTCTCCAGCTCTCTAGTGGGCAGGACAAAGGCAAACCCATCAGAAGCCTCAAGTGATCCCTCAGTCCCTTCTATAACACTGAAGGATGGAAAATTAAAAACACTCATCAAAGGGAATTCCAAAGAAATTCCACTGCGTGTTCCAAGTCGGCAGCCTCAAGTGATCCCTCAGTCCGCAGGGGAGGGGGCAGTGAGAGCACCCAGAAGGACCAAGGGCCCAGCAGCCAACATAACAGGAGGGCAAGAGTGGAGCAGCAGAACCAAGAAAGGGGGATGACAGGTGGTCTGAGTTAGAAAGAAGAGGTGAGAGCACAGATGGTGACACTGGCTTCCAGAATAAGAGGGGTGCTGCTCGGCAGGCAGGGTCCCTTTGTTCACTCGGTGGCACAGCCCACCCAAGGCACAAGGGTCTACAGCTCCCCCACCTGAACTGGCTGGGCTGCCATGCAGGACACGTGGATGGCACTTTCTTTTTTCTATACCTACCACATCAAAAACTAATTCAAAACTAGAAAACATAAGTAGCCATGAGAACAGTAAAACCTCTCAGACCAGACTAAGCAGGAGACTGGAGCTC